TCCTGAGCGATCTCTCTGACCAGCCGCTGGAAAGGCAGCTTACGGATGAGAAGCTCCGTGGATTTCTGATAACGACGGATCTCACGCAGAGCAACGGTACCGGGCCTGTAACGATGAGGCTTCTTCACACCGCCGGTGGCCGGGGCGCTTTTGCGGGCAGCCTTGGTGGCGAGCTGCTTCCTCGGGGCTTTGCCTCCAGTGGATTTACGAGCGGTCTGCTTAGTACGAGCCATGATAACAGAGAGTCTTAGGTAAATGTAAGACGACGTATATCAGGCAGACCGAGATGTCGCTGCTTATAAAGCATTTCTAAACCCCCAGGATGATGACGCTGTTACAGTTCTTCGGTTCCTGATTGGTCACGCTCTCAACAGAGCCATGCCTATTGGACAGAGGCGCTTTGAAAAAGTCCGCCAGAAATTCCAGGCGAACCTCCCCCCTGCTCTGCCCAAACCTCTGCTCTGGTTGGTTGTTGTAAAAACAGATTCTTCCTGGTTTTTTTTACATATTTAAAAGCGACAGTGTAAGCCATATGAAGAAACACTTCTCTCTCAACTTCTAACTAAACAGACTTAAAGCTCAACATGTCTGGAAGAGGTAAAACCGGCGGAAAGGCCAGAGCTAAGGCTAAGAGCCGCTCATCCAGGGCCGGACTCCAGTTCCCCGTCGGTCGTGTTCACAGACTGCTCAGAAAGGGGAATTACGCTCAGCGTGTCGGCGCTGGAGCTCCCGTTTATCTGGCCGCTGTGTTGGAGTATTTGACCGCTGAGATCCTGGAGTTGGCCGGAAACGCAGCCCGCGACAACAAAAAGACCAGAATCATCCCCCGTCACTTGCAGCTGGCTGTCCGCAACGACGAGGAGTTGAACAAGCTGCTCGGTGGAGTCACCATCGCTCAGGGCGGTGTTCTGCCCAACATCCAGGCTGTTCTACTGCCCAAGAAGACTGAGAAGGCCGCAAAGACCAAGTAAAACTAGCTGATGTGACGACGGAAATCCCCAAAACGGTTCTTTTAAGAGCCAACCACAATTTCTCAAAGACACAGTCCTTCACCAAGCTCACAACCCGTATTAAGGATACGGACTAAAACAAAACATAACAATAAACGTTAAAAAATATATTTAAAAAACAAATAAAACATCTTACGTTAGCATCAACTTGTCTTTTCGTCCTGACAACGTCGACCGCGTTGTCAAACAAAACTCCCCAGGTGCCATTTAATTAAGACTTTGACGTCAATGGACGGGTCGCCGCCTGGCGGACACGGTGGTTTATAACATGCATTACATCTAGCTCTACCTGTTCTACCAACCTGCAGCCCTCCGCTCTGCCAACTAAGTTAACGTCAGGGCGTGTTGATGAACTTCCTGTCAATCTCACCTGGCTCTTTGTTGGTGAATTTTCTAACAAACACAACACACGTGAATTCAGATAGGAGGGCTTAATGCGAAAAAAAGTTAATCTCCTTCGAGCCGGATTTGAACCAGCGACCTAAGGATGTCTTTCCATAGTAGCCTACAGTCCTCCGCTCTACCAACTGAGCTATCGAAGGGATGTGTTACGTGTGCCCGAAGCTACATCTTATATACACGAAAAATGTCTGTTCTCCAAAATCGATTTAAAAACACGGTACTTAAAAATAAAAAATCTGGTGTAGAAATATTAAGATTTTTCCACTTTCTCGGTTTTTTTACACGTTTATATTACTTTGGAGGTCCGTTTTTCACATCCAATTGCATTCTTTTTTCACTGACACATCACTCCATCAAAATCAAAGGGAGAATTCAGGTTGAATTATTTATTATAAATCATTCACATTACAAAGTTAGACATTTACTGTTGCCATATCCATCCAAACATCCTGTCTACGAGGGGGATTCTGTTAGCCTTCGTTCAAGGTGGCGTTGTTGGGATTATTCATGGATGGATGGATGTTGGTACAGAGTTAATCACTGGTAATCTATGACAATGAGCACAGTTATCCAATGCACTCTCACTGAAACACACACACACACAGGTTTAGGACAGCAGTGTCAGGGCTGCTTCCAGCTGACATGGAGAACTTCTATTTGCAAATTAAGAAAGAAAAAAACAGCAGGTTAACAGAAGAATGTAACTTGAAACTGCAGCAGAGAAGATGCAAAGGTGTAAAACAAACAGTATTAATGTTTGGCTGTGGGGCAGATGTAATCTGACTTCAAAGGGAGTGGTTTTTACACATTTTTGATTTTTTTTTTTTTTTTTTTTTGGGGGGGGGTTTCTTCCATGCCCTTCACGGAGTATACGTAGCAAATTTGTATTGTTTCTTTTTAAATAAAAAACAGTTAAAAATCATCTACAAACCCACACTTTCTACAAATCACACAATTAGTTAATTTAATGTTGAAATCTGCAGTAGAAAACAGAAGGGGGCAAGAAAGACAACGTCTGCGTCAAGCAGCGTCCAAAAAAAAAAAAAAAAAAAGGACTGGTAGAAAAAACGAAAGGGGAAAAAAAAAAAGAGTCTAGAATGGCAAACAAATTCATAAAAGAATTTAGCCAACAAGAAGAGAGTCCTTCAGAAGGTCAGTTTGTCTGACCCCCGCCCAAAGTGTCCAGTCATGGCTTCAGGGAGGGGCCGGTGCAGTAAAAGGCAGCCCCAGGCTGGGTCAGTGTGTGTGTAGGTTAAAGAGGCAGTTGAGCTGTGAGAACGACTGAGAGCAGGAACAGGTTGGGTTTCTGCAGTTCGTTGAAAGCTGAAGTGTCAGACTGGCTGAGAGTGTACAGTTGGTCACAAGCCACACGTCGGATCTAAGGGAGAAAGCAAGTGTATTAGCATAAACTGCAATCCTAGGGAGTACTTCACCACTGTGGGGGAAAAAAAAAATCCAAAAAAAACAGCAAACATCAGTGCCTGACAGCCTGTCTGAATTCAACACCTCAACTTATTTTTGTGTGCTTTCATTAATTGGATTTCTTTCCATTTTTTTTTTTATCACTACCTCAGTTTTTTCCTCCGTCTCTTCCTTTCCCCAATTTTCTGTCTCCCTGCAGCATTTATTTCTCTCTCTCTGCCTCATTGTCTCTCTCCCTATCTTTGCATTTTTCTCTCTTGCTCTCTCCATGTGTCCCTGTCTGTCTTCCTGTCCCAGTGTCTCTCCCTGTCTCGATCTCTTGCTCTCTCCATGTGTCCCTGTCCCAGTGTCTCTCCCTGTCTCGCCGTCTCTCTCTTTCCTTGTCTCCCTGTGTTTCTGAAACGTAAGAAACTAAAATCAAAAAATTAAAACACAGTTTTTCCAGGCCAAATGGGACAAAGTTACAATTTAGTTTGTCAAAATAGTGTCAAATGTTGCCGTCAGATGAAAATGTGTGAGAGCAGCGTGAGAAACCAGTGCGGTGGAGTCACTGACTTGCAGGAGTCCTGTAGGCTGGTCCAGGCTCGCTGCAGCAGCTCACTGATATAGGCCAGAGCTGGGAGGATGTAGTTGCGGTGGAGGAGCAGGAGCAGCTCCTTCAGATACGCCAACACCTGGAACACACTGTCTGGAGTGTTGGTGTTCACCTGAGCAACAAGGAAGTGGAGGGGGGGAAAAAAACACACATTCAGTAACAAACAGACTACATCAAGGACAACGACAGCCAGTGTTAAAACATCTTTGTCCAGTTCTGACCCAGTCTATGACGAGCGGCGTCGTTTCTTTCACCCAGTGGATGAAGTGAACGCTCTTTTCTGAGATGCAGACGGCCGCTGCTTTCGTTTTCTCCACTCCTTGTTCTAACAGAGGCCCCACCACCCGGGCACACTCAGAGTAATAGTAAGGTGTGTTTTTCTCGATCCAGCTGCAGGAAAAGGACAAATGATCAGAAGGTGTTCACAGAGCGTGGGTGGGGGTGAGAGGGCCGGGGGTATGTTTTATGTCCGTACCTGAAGCCCTGTTTGGAGTAAACTGTGACTGCGCTCTGGGCCTGCAGGAAGCCAGCTTTGATCCCCGAACTGCTCAGAAATCTGGCTGAGGTGGAATCTGGAGAAAAAATAAACATAAGAGGAAATAAAAAAATTAAAATTAAAAACTAAACTAAAGCTGAAATGATTAATGTCCTTGAATCAAAGGTTTGTTTCATTCTTTTGGCAGCGGTGAAAACAAACAACATGGAGCAAATAAGAGGTGAGAACAAAAAAAGGCAGAAAATGTCTAAAGTTTGGGTTAGGTAAAAAGGTAGACAGTACCTGTGAAGGAGCCGTGGGATCTGATGTCGTGTGCGATGAAACCAGCGACAAACACACACAAAACCATCAGCAGCCTGGACCAGGGGAACCCGCGCCCGCGCATCTTCACCTGTAGGTTCTGGAGGCGAGCAGAAAAATTACACGTGAATGAAGAACACAGTCAAAGAAAGACTGCGATCAGGAACTGGAGACATGTTTCTCACCTGACACAGGTTGTGACACTCCCGAAGCTCCCGCGACTCCACGCTCTCTCTCATCTCCTCATTGGTCACTCGGAACGACTGGATGGTTTCCTCAAGGTTCTTCCGAAGCTGAAGACAGAAAGATGCAGAAAAATAAAGCTGACATCTAAAACAAGACGACTGATATAAACTCTGATTAAGTTTAAAGTTTGTTTACAGATTGTGGGAAAGTCTGTTTGGTATTTAATCTATTTAGAGAGCAGGAAAACTCATTGTTTTTTTATTACTTGTACTCAGTACAGTGTGTACTACGTGTGGCTTTTATTCATGTATTTGTTATGTATGTATTCCTAGTTTTAGTTTTTATGTCTGATCACTTTGATCCAATGCTGTCGTTTTTAATATGTGCTTTATAATTATATATTATAAAAACTTTTTTTCAGCGACATGTCAGTGTAGCAGGAGTCCCACCTTGGGAGGCAGACTTTTCCAGGACTTTAGTAGATGTTTCAACAAAAAAAAAAAAAAAAAAAAAAAAAAAGACGGTGAGCTTCAGAATCATTAGTAAAAAACAGAAGACGGTGAGCTTCAGAATCATTAGGTGCCTGAACACAGTGAAGATTAAGTTTTGTTTTTTAAATGAACACATTCAGTGTAACATTAGGACGCTGTGACTCACCTGGACTGGGGTAAATGCTTGGTGTAGAGTTGCCTCCACACTCCCAGACTCTGTGCATCCACACACAGACACTCTGTCATGCTGTTGAGCAGCTGTGAGACACAATAGGGAGACAGGAGTTTTAAAGGTACAAAAAATACAGTAATGATGCTCTTGGACTGAGGTTGTTTGTGTAAACCTTCTCTCACCTCCTTCTTCATGTCAGCAGGGCAGTTGGACGTGGCTCTGGACAGAAACGATGGCAGGTAGGTGTGTAACGTGCTCTCAGGTTTGGCTCCGAAGGCCAGAACTTTGAGTCGAGGATACAGGTGTCTCAGCTGCTCCTGGAGACTGCAGACAGACGACAGGAAGTTTATTGTACTGCTTATTTTAAAATAGAAAAAATTAAAAAAAAGAAAAAGATGTCGTCTTCACAAGTTTACATTCACCTTGGTGAGAGGGCGTTCTTAGGCATGAAGGCAAAGTCCAGTAAAGGGAAGAACTCCTTTGGACCCATGATACCAAATCCCTTTGTGAGGTTTGCATGAAGTCTGTGGGACAAAGACATGATGTCAACATGACTGAGGACTGAGGCTGCGCTCAAATGTTGTCATTTAAACCGGGGGAATCGAATCCCACTGTTCCTTGGTCAGACTTACAACAGAAGTCGGTCCAGATAAGCTATGGCGTAGGCTGACAGGGACCTGACCCCGAGCACAGGAAGCATGATTCCCAGCCACACTGAAAACAAGTGGAAGTCAACGCATGATTCCCAGCCACACTGAAAACAAGGAGTGGAAGTCAACAAGTTAACGGAGGATTTTGGTCTTCTCTAATCCTTTGTTGTTGTTTGTTGTCGTTCTGTACTTGAACAGGTTTCTTCATGCGTGTGCGTGTGTGTTACCTCTCAGTCCCTGGCTGAGGTCATAAAACCCAGCCTGGCCCAGAGCCCACATGATGGTCAAACACTTGGCTGGACGGTTCTGAACCGACCTCAGTAACTCCAAGTACTGTGGAGGAGAAGGAGAGGAGAGGGAGTGAAAGAGGAGTTACAACATGATGTTGCACTGTTGCACAACGGCAACCACGATGTTGAACAACAGAAGTGAAACTACCGACACACACACACACACACACAAACACACACACAGACTGAGGAAGCAGAGAAGTGCAGTCACCTCTGGCAGATTTTGTGTTGCTATCCTGGGTTTGTCCTGTAGAAGAGCCTGAATGCAAACTCTGTAGCCGTGCAGTGGTTCTCCTGCAGAGATGTAGAGAAAAGTAGTTCAATGTTTGGCTGATTTGTTGAAAATTTTACTTTTTTTTTTTTTTTCTTTAGAAGTTTCTCATCAGATATGCAAAAACAACAGTTATTTTCATATCATGTATATTTTGGCCTTGTCAGCAGAAAACCAACAACACATTATTTCATCAGATTATCAGAATTATTATTCAAAAATTGACACTTGACCCGTGGTGAGGTCAGGCTGACTGTGTTTGATCTGTAACAATAATGAATTAGCCCACAGGGCAGACTGTAACAATAATGAATTAGACCACAGGGCGGACGGTGACGAGCAGAGAGTAAGCAAATGTCTGAAGCACTTTTTGTTTTACCTGAATTTCTGTCCAGCTCCCTGAGCATGGTGTAAACACAGTAGTCAAAGAAATCTGGCAGGATGTCACTGCAGCGTCCAATGAGGCCTTTGATCACACCCCTCAGCTCT